TCTTTCCATCTCTGGCCTAATAGCATCCATGCAGCTGTCATCACATACATAAAAAGTCTTTTCTGCTCCCTTGGAATATCTACACCTACAATTCCTAATAGAAAAGCCTCTGGTGTTGTTGTTGTTTTGTTGTTTGGCTTTTTAATAAAAGTTAATTTAAACTTTTTAAAAATTCATTATATATCATTTCCCAGAATGCTTTTATTACCTTGCACTTCCACCACATATGATAAAAGGTGCCTTGATGGCAAGGCTTCAGTCCCAGCCTCACTTACTTAGGAGTAAGCCCAACTGACTTCAGTAGGACTTACTTATGAGCAGACACAATTTGGGTTGTGCTTTTGGACACCAGTGGGTTTGCTTCCTTCACCCACACAAGGGAGAGCTCTCCCGGAAGCTACCGTTACGTAAAGAAAGAGTGGCTCATTTATGGCTGGAGGTGGGTGAATCGGTCAATGCTCAGTTTCTCATTCCCCCCCCCCAAAAAAAAACTTACGTTCAGTTCTCCAAATTTCCATGTCATTAAAAAAAAAAAGGCCTCATGAAAATTCTTCAGCATTTTAGTGTGGATTTCTCTCAATATACACGTTTCTGGACAGCGATTTCCCCACGATGATGCCTTTTTTTGTATACCGTATGTGTTTTCATACACATTACCTGGATGACGAGTTGCAAGGCAAAAACTGGAGAAGTGCAATTTCTGAAGGGTGGCTGGGTTTGGGGTTGACTAAGTGTGAATTAGATAAGTTATCTCATGAAGCAGTGGCAAGGACTGAGCAAAACATGACTGACTGATGGTCTGCTTTCTGCAGGTAGTTCTGAAGCACATTTGTTCCTCAAGTTTCTATAACCCTAATGGCTTATCATCTTCAGTCTGATATGGGACTACAAATCTATTTACAGTCGTACCTTGGATCCCAAACACCGCAAACCCAGAAGTGATTGGTTCAGTTTGTGAATGTTCTTTTGGAACCCGAGCATTTGACGGGGCTTCCATGGCTTCTGATTGGCTGCAGGAGCTTCCTGCAGCCAGTCAGAAGCCGTGATTTAGTTTTCGAACGTTTTGGAAGTCAAACGGACTTCAAGAATGGATTCCTTTCAACTTCCAAGGTACAACTGTATTACTGTTACTCTGATTATTGTTCTGGTTATCATCTATTATATACTGATTATTTATTACTATTATGGTGGTGGTGATTAATACGGCACTTAAAGTGGCTTCTGAGCGATTTACAAATATGGAACCAAATACAAAAATATCAGCACACATAATTAAACAGTGCACAGTCAAACCAAAATAAACACCCACAGTGGAAATTTCTGCAATAACCATGTGTTAGTTGATCACACACACACACATTTTCCTTTTGTGTACATTATGGACTGAGTATCATATGACAACATTTCTTTAGCCCTTTCAAGAGTTCAGCGCATTTTAGCTGGTTGTAATCCTTACAACAACCCTGTAAGAAATAGCAGTATTATTTTCCTCCATATTGCAGATGGAAGAACTGAGGGGGTGTGTGTGCGTCTTGCCTACAGTGGATATCACACTTGATCTTGGGGGAGGGGGACTAATGATGGCAGAATATTCTATTGGCCTTTCACCAACTATATTTAATCACTTTATTTTCACCTCTGTTGATGCTTTAACTGCTTCCACGATGTATTATGGACAATCTGCCATTTCTCCACCAAAATTTGAAGAACAGCATACAAATGGCAGCAGATTTATAAACACAGCGAAAGCACCAGAGCTTCCTCCATTACTCTGTCATCAAAGATATCAGCCCTAGGTTGCGCTCTGAGCATTAGCCCATGTAGCCTGATATGAGTTCATGAGCCAGGAATTCAAAACACTAACCAGCTGTGGGAACCCGGGAAGGAGCCTGTCACACTAAATGGTATCCAGATTAGAGCTGTGAGAATTTGGGAAAGCCCATCTCACAAACAAGACTGCTCACTTAGCCCGAGAGGTGAAAGGGAGGGGGGTTGACAGGAGGGGACTGTGGGAGAGAGAAGAAAATAGTTCTTTAGTCCTTATGGTCTTCCTTCACTTAAAAGTAACAAGTTCTACATTCGCTCTGTAACCGACTTATTGTTTACCAGTACAGTGGTACCTCAGTTGCCGAACTGTTCTGGAAGACCATTTGACTTCCGAAGCGTTTGACAACTGAGGCGCAAAGGGTGGTCTGCAAAGTCAATGGAGAAAATTGGGCGAAAACACAGCAGAAACCGTTTGACTTCTGAGGCGTGTTCAAAAATGGAAGCATTTGCTTCTGGGTTTTCGGCATCTGAAAACTGAAACACTCAACATCTGAGACGCTCGAAAACTGAGGTACCACTGTATTTGCTTTACTACATTATCATCCCCACCCCCAACACCACACCCTTCTCTGGGGAGCTGCTTTGAACAGCATTTTAGCTTCAAAAAACAACCTTGTGAGGTAGGTTAGCCTGACTGATGCCAACTTGCCTGAGACTGCTGCTGCCTCAGTGAGTTTCACTGCTGTGAAGTGATTCATATCTGAGCCGGTCTTCCATATCAAAACCAATGGCAAGCATTGGCTGAGCAGTATTTTAAGAATCCAAACCCTCCAACAACCCACAGATAAAATTGGGATGCGGGTCTTTTGGGCCCTGCATGAGTCACGAGACTTGCATGAGAGCACAGCCCCCCGAAACCGGCATCTTTGGGGGCTGCGCTCTCACGGGAGCCGAAACAGGACATCCCAGGATCCAATAAGAAGCCAGGGGGGCTCTGTAATTCCAGGACATCCTGCTAAAAGTGGGAGAGTTGATGAGTATGAGAATCCATACTTCTCAGAGCCCATTTTGGCAACCAACAGATCCCATACATTGTGTATCAGCCAGAGAAAGGATATTTTGAGTAGAGATTTGATTGAGTTGGCTGTTTAGTACAAACCTACCTACTCTGCATTTCCTGGACTGATGCATGAACCAAAAAATCATCACCACAGAATCATGCAGAATCCTTCCAAATTTGCACTTTTCTGAATTCAGCAAGCAGTGCTCCAGCTCAAAAATACGTGCCGTCGACTCACAACTTGTGCACATTTAACTTGCACGACCACAGATTTCTGCACTTGGCGGCCAGCCAGCTGCGATCGTGCAAATGAAATGTATTAAAGGCAAGGGCAGTTAAGATGTTCCAGGAGCCTCCCAGAGCCTAGTAAGCAAAACGAAGAGCTTTAAACTTGGAACTGGGGAAGCTACCATGTTTGTCCTGCATGAGAAATATGAACAGCAACAGCTCATCTCTCTCATTCATTTTTGCTTTTTTGCTTTCCACACAGGCAACCCAGTTGCGCTTTAGTCTCTTTTGGCAGAATTCTGTCTGAAGGGAGGCTTGTCTCATCTTCTGGAAGTCAGATCTGCTGAGGTTCTGTACATATTGAGCCAGCCATGATGTCTGGCATGCAGGTGCTTGAGTTACAGCTAGCTAGCTACAGACACAGCCAGATTTCAGGCAGGGAGGCTGAGCGAAGAGAGAGACCACCCATGGTGTTATTATACATAAGAGAAGGAGATGGAAGGAGAGACAGACCGATGCGACACACCCACCCAACAATGAACTCCAGGCTTGGGGCAAAGCTATCAAGCTCTCTTTCAATCTGAGTTACTATAATATTTTCTATCCTTCTCCACAACAGAAGGCTGCCCCTTCCACAACTGAAAGCTATTCTCCCCCTCACAGATATGGGATCAAATCCCTAAACAGCCTCGGCCCTGTATACCTGAAGGAGCATCTCTACCCCCATTGTTCAGCCCAGACACCAAGGTCCAGCTCCAAGGACTTTCTGACAGTTCACTCACTGAGAGAAGTGAAGTTGCAAGGAACGAGGCAGGGGGCCTTCTCGGCAGTGGCACCCACCTTGTGGAACACCCTCCCATTAGATGTCAAGGAGATAAAAAACTATATGACTTTTAGAAGGCATCTGAAGGCAACTCTGTATGGGGAAGTTTTCAATGGTTGGTGTTTTGTTGTGTCTTTGATACAGTGGTACCTCGGTTTTCGGACGTAATCCGTTCCGAAAGACCATTCGAGTGCCTAAGCATTCAAAAACCGAAATTCAGTACAGAAGCCTCAAAATGGAAAACTCCTTATGGAAAACTCAATATAGAAGCCACGTGGCACGTTTGACTTCCAAGGCAAGTTTGAAAACCGAACTATTTACTTCTGGGTTTACGGCGTTCACAGCTAATGTCAGAGCTGTGCGTCACATACAGGCTCTTCCAGGTTGTCATCGTGAGGCTGTCATCATTAACATGAAAGCGGATGTTCAAAGGCAGGAGATCTTTCCAGAAGTGGCCTTTTTCCTGGACACTCAGCTATTGACCCTGAACAGAGAAGCCAGAGAAAGAGAGAGAGAATGCCAGAAAACCTTCAGAGGTTCTGCGGCCAGGGCTGTGCACTCTGATTGATGTTACACCTGTTCAGACCTGTGGGAGCAGAGGGCGGCATGCGTCTAATGAAACCCTCATTTGTGACTTCCCCTCTTGTTATAGCTGAGTCTCTTTAGCCTCTAAACTTTGCTCTAGACTTGGGCTGCTGCGGGGGGAGAGGGGGAGCGATGACAAACTGCTTTCTTCTGTCAACATTCTAATTGGCCTGATAATGAAACAAAATAAATACCCAAGTTAGAGGGATTTGAAATCCAATTTATTTTTGTTTTACTCCCCCAAAAGTGTCTGCTGCAGGGGTTTTTTCTGTGAAAATTCAATAAAAACAAAGCCATGAAAATAAATACCCATGGTCCAGGAAAACACACACAACCCGCCAACATTTCTCCAATGAAAATAGGGACATCAATAATAACAATAACAGTAACAGTAATAATACCCTGCACATCTGACTGGGTTGCCCCAGCCACACTGGGCAACTTCCATCATATATAAAAGCATAATAAAACATTAAACAACTTCCCTATACAGGCTGCCTTCAGGTGTCTTCTAAAGGTTGTATCGTTGCTTATCTCCTTAGCTCTGGGGTCACATAACTCCATAGCCTCCAACATTTCTCTGATGAAAATAGGGACGTCCTAAGGAAAAGTGGGACATTCCAGGATCAAATCAGAAACTGGGACTTCTTCTGTAAATCCGTGACTGTCCCTGGAAAATAAGGGACACACCTATTTTCCTATGTGACCTCCTTCCAGATGAGTAGCTGCTGCGTACTGGGATACATACATCATTATATTTGTATGCCGCTTTCCAGAGTTAAAACCAGTGCTTTTTTTAAAGAAAAAAAGGTGCCAGTACTCACCATGAAGGGACGTGGATGGCACTATGGGTTAAACCACAGAGCCTAGGACTTGCCAATCAGAAGGTCGGTGGTTCGAATCCCCACGACAGGGTGAGCTGCCGTTGCTCGGTCCCTGCTCCTGCCAACCTAGCAGTTCGAAAGCACGAAGTGCAAGAAGATAAATAGGTACTGCTCCAGCGGAAAGGTAAACGGTGTTTCTGTGTGCTGCTCTGGTTCACCAGAAGTGGCTTAGTCATGGTGGCCACATGACCCAGAAGCTGTATGCCGGCTCCCTCGGCCAATAAAGTGAGATGACCAGGGGTCCCTTTACCTTTACCTTTACTCACCATGAAGTTGTAACAGCAAGTGCCAAACTTTTAATATGGGGGAGGGGGAGGTGTCGGGACTGTGTACCCCAGAAAAGTATGGAACGCAGGTGGCGCTGTGGTCTAAACCATTGAGCCCCTTGGGCTTGCCTATCAGAAGGTCAGTGGTTTGAATCCCCACAATGTGGTGAGCTCCCATTGCTCTGTCCCAGCTCCTGGCAACCTAGGAGTTCTAAAGCACACCAGTGCAAGTAGATAAATAGGTACTGCTGCAGAGGGAAGGTAAACGGCATTTCTGTGCACTCTGGTTTCCGTCACGGTGTTCCATTGCACCAGAAGTGGTTTAGTCATGCTGGCCACATGACTCAGAAAGCTGTCTGCGGACAACGCCGGCTCCCTCAGCCTGAAAGCAAGATGAGCGCCATAGTCACCGCAGGGGGAAAAAAGCCCTGGTTAAAACCATGCTCAAGGCAGCATACAACATGAAAATATCACATAATTACAAACGTAACAAAAGTATAAAACTATACAGTGGTACCTCAGGTTAAGTACTTAATTCGTTCCGGAGGTCCGCACTTAACCTGAAACTGTTCTTAACCTGAAGCACCACTTTAGGGGCCTCCTCCTGCTGCTGCTGCTGCTGCGCCGCCGGAGCACGATTTCTGTTCTCATCCTGAAGCAAAGTTCTTAACCCGAGGTACTATTTCTGGGTTAGCGGAGTCTGTAACCTGAAGCGTATGTAACCCAAGGTACCACTGTAAATGAGAACATCAAAAAGTACAAATTAGACCAAATTAGACCATTTCCAAATAAATCCTAATAAGGTCTAGAATAAAGATACAAAATAATGTCAAAAATAGCAACAACCTCCAACAAAAACCCCTAAACAATAGAGAGGGGTGAAGCAGTGGTGAGTTCTGCATGGTGCAAACATACCAGCTCTGCTGCTGTATTTGCGCCATGCTGCCTCACCTATTGCCCTTCTCCATCCCAGTATGCAGTAGCAATTCTACCACAGTGAGGTCGGGTAAATGTCACAGCCGTACCGCACCATTTGTTACTGTATGTTGTGTTTACACCAATGCATTGCTTCCGACTCCTACAGAAAAAGTTGAGCCACCTGCGGCCTTTAGTGTGGCAGTCCCTGCCCTGCGGAACTCCTTGCCACTAGAGGTTTGGCAGGAAAGCTCCTTGCTTTCTTTCGGACCTCTTTTCCAAACTGCACTGTTCAGGCAGGCCTTTGGGTTGCGAACGTTTTCTCTGTCTTTCTTTTTTTAACCGACTAGGTTTTTTTTAAATGTTTTTGCTGTTCATGTGTTTTTATGTTGTACATCACCTTATTTTATTTTATTTTTCTTTTAGGAAAGTGTGGTTGCTAAATATTTACACGAAGCAAAAAAACAAAGAAATTTAGCAGCCCTCATCCTGATTTCATGTGGGTGCAGGAAGCCTGGAGGGAGAGAAGAATGGTGGTTTGGAGGGAAATGGAGTTTAAAACAAGACAAAACTGCAATGGAGAGGAGAGTTGTGGAAAGGGAATCCTCTTCGAGCAATCCGTTCAGACCTCTGGAAACAATAATCAGTCTCTCTACCAGCCGACTGCTAGTTAGGTAAGTAGGAAAGCAGAAAGGGTCTCACAGAGAGATGTGGAAGTCATAGATCACATCCATAACCACACATTTAAAGTACCTTTGTAGCATTTTAACAGTTCTGGTTCCCCCCCCCCACCAAAGAATCCTGGGAACTGATGGAAATGTAAAGAGAAAGAAGGTTCTTTTTATCATATGTGGTGGTCTTGTAAAAAGCGAACCCTGACCATTGGGTCCAGTTGTGACTGACTCTGGGGTTGCGGCGTTCATCTCGCTTTACTGGCCGAGGGAGCTGGCATACAGCTTCTGGGTCATGTGGGCAGCATGACTAACCCACTTCTGGCGAACCAGAGCAGCGCACGGAAACGGAGCGGTTGGTGTGTTTCTTCTTGGTTGGTTGGTTGGTTGGTTGGTCGGTCGGTTAGTCGATCGGTCAGTAGGTTGGTTGGTCATTCAGTTGGTTGGTAGTTTGGTTGGTCGGTTGGTTGGTCAGTCAGTTGGTTGGTCATTCGGTTGGTTGGTTGGTCGATTGGTTGGTCATTCAGTTTGTTGGTCGGTTGGTTGGTTGGTTGGTTGGTTGGGCAGGCGGGCGGGCGGTTGGTCGGTTGGTCGGTTGGTTGGTTGGTTGGTTGGTCGGTCGGTCGGTTGGTCAGTCAGTTAGTTGGTTGAGCAAATAAGCAAAAAAATAAGAGCAAACATTACTCAGCAGAGTAAACACAACAGATCAGCCTCGAGGCATGGATACTATACTAAACTATGCTTTTATTATACATAAATCAGGACAAAGAAAAACATGGCCTCTCTCCTTGTCACTCTTCTTGGAGAGAGAGAAAAGCAAAGCAATACAGAGTGGATGTTCCACTCATGGGACTCCAGCAATCTGTGTTGGAATGTAAACCAACATGTGACATGTAACAATCCCACATATCTGCAGCAAGGGTGGAATGGAATTCCCAACATGAAGATGCTGCAATCAAGCCTCCGTCCCAAAGCCCAGTGCCTTGCCTACCATTCTTTGAGATGGCGCCCCCTCTGCTCAGTGTGCAGAGCATGTGCACTGCTTGCACAGCCCTAAATCCACCCCTTGAAAGGTGAGGGGGCAGCCCCACAGCGCCACCCACGTTGGACTCGCCACAATCACTCGCCATAGGCATGTGGCCCCTAAGAGATTACTCTGAAGGGCATGCAGCCCTTGACAGAAGAAGGAGGTCCGCCCAGGGGTGGGGGCAGAGAGGGTGAGGGCAGTGGGGGCGGTTCACCCCGTGTGTCACCACTGAGGGGGGTGACAAAATGCCGGGTGGCAGCCACCACAGAGCCTGCAGTGTGCCCGAGCCACACGTCTCTCCTGGGAGTGACATGGTGGCTTAGGCGCCCACAGGCTCAGCGCTGCCCCAAACGGTCTGCCCGCTGTCTCCCCCTCAACTGTAGGGCAGCTGAGTGGGAGGAGGCAGGCAGACTCCTTGGAGGCACACGCGCTGCCCCAGGCGCCCGATTGGCTTGCTCCGCCTCTGGGTCCACCACCCCTATCCTATAAGGGATATCCACACCACAGGACAACAAGATGCAGCCTGGACCTCCATGCGTTCAGACCTTCCAAGTGTCCCTATTTTCCAAGGATGTCCCTGATTTAGAGAAGCCATCCCGATTTCTGATTTGATCCTGGAATGTCCCACTATTCCTTAAAGGTAAAGGTAAAGGGACCTCTGACCATTAGGTTCAGTTGTGGCCGACTCTGGGGTTGAGGCGCTCATCTCGCTTTATTGGCCGAGGCTGCCGGCATACAGCTTCCGGGTCATGTGGCCAGCATGACTAAGCTGCTTCTGGTGAACCAGAGTAGCGCACGGAAATGCCGTTTACCTTCCCACCGGAGAGGTACCTATTTATCTACTTGCACTTTGACGAGCTTTCAAACTGCTAGGTTGGCAGGAGCAGGGACTGAGCAACGGGAGCTCACCCCGTCGCGGGGGTTCGAACTGCCGACCTTCTGATCAGCAAGTCCTGGGCTCTGTGGTTTAACCCACAGCGCCACCTGTGTCCACTTTTCCTTAGGATGTCTCTATTCTCATTGGAGAAATACCTTCTCATTGGAGGGTATGGAATTATCCAACCCCCGAGCCGTCTGAAGGCAATCCTGTATAAGGAAGGTTTTTTTAATGTTTAATGTTCTATTTTGTTTTTATATATCTTGGTAGATGCCCAGAATGGCTGGGGCAACGCATTAAGATGTGTAGGGTATAAATAGTAAAATTATCATTATGGAATGAGACGCCTTTGGAGAAATGTTGGAGGGTATGTACTTTTGTCACTCTGCATAAGGTTGCCAAGTCTCTCAAGGCTCTGGGTGACATTCAAGGGGTGGACTCTGGGAGATCTTGAGTAGCACTTGGTAGTTCCCCAACAGAGTGGAGCATGTTCAGATTATATTAAGATTGAGGTCTGGTGGGGAGAAAGGATCATTTCTGGGTGGTCAAACAAAGTGCCAGGTTGTTCCCAGTGGGCCCCGGTGGACATCGGGAAATGGAGCAAAAAGCAAATGTGCTTAAACCAAGACACACCCTCCATGGATTTATCTACTCACCCTTCAAACCAGCTAAGTTGCCACACCTTGTGGAAGAGAGTTCCATAAGCTAATTATTTGTTTTCTTTCGTTTGTTGTAGCTCTACAGTGCATTCCGTGAACCTAAGAAGCTGAGAGGAAGATTACTTATTTGCTTTGTGCATTCCATGTTTCTCATTAGGAAAAAAAAACATCCGCTCAGCTTTCAGATATTTGCAACAATTCATGCTGCACAGGATCTTTCATCCTTGCCAATATACGTTGAAATATGGGCCTGGAAAAAAATAATCCCACAGCAGATCAATGAAATAATATTTACATACTTCAAAGGATGCTTTGCCTCTTTTCTCCCCCTTCGTCTTCAGCACTAAGTGTCTTGGATATTTCAGCTCTCCTTACAAGTTTTTCTAATTGTATTTCTGCATTTCATGGTTATTTTCTTATTAGCAACATAATTTTCATCTGTTAAGCATTTGCATCCTCTATTAGAAACATCAAAGGCCTATAACATTTTATGGCAGTCATCTCCATCAATATTCACAAGAAAGAAAGAAAGAAAGAAAGAAAGAAAGAAAGAAAGAAAGAAAGAAAGAAAGAAAATGTATCCATATAAAATCCATGATGAATATAGGAATTAACCCAAGTGCTTGCCTTAAACTGAGTCAGACCGCTAGTGGCACAAACTCTGTGTTGTCTACTCTGC